GCTTCTGAAGGAGGAAGCTGTCTCCACTGGTGTGTTTGGAGCTCTGGGCCAGAACAACTGCCTGGTGCATCTCACTGTACAGGTTGTTGAGTACTAACTAGGTTGTCCTTCAGAGAAAACTGTGCTGGAATGAGCGTAAGCAAGATGACTTTTGATGGCCCTCCACTCAGTGAGACTATTCGGGAGTTTCCCTTTCAGGCAAGAGGAGGAGCGCAGACGCCGTGAAGAAGACATGAGGCGGCAGCAGGAGGAAATGATGAGGCGACAGCAGGAAGGATTCAAGGGGTCCTTTTCTGATGCGGTAGGTGCTGTCCTTTTTTGCCCAGGATGGGGAAGGGGGAGGTTAGTATGGCGTGGCTTCTGATCTGGGCAGAGGGCTGCAATGTAATTCTTTACCCATTATTTAGAGTTTTAATAGACACTTCTAGAGGTCTAAGTATAGAGAGGCCTTCGTCAAACAAAGTTATCTCTTGGATTTGTGTGTCTTACAGAGGGAGCCTCCAGATATGCGAATGGGACAGATGGGCATGGGAGGTAAGCTGCTGTTGTGTTCAAGAAAAGTACAGTTGTAACTGGTAGTTCTTGGGGGTTTTTTGTTTGGGCTGAGATGCTTCTTCATTGGACTTACCATTGGATGCTAGTAAGCTTTTGGAGGATTAATTCATTTCTAAAACACTTTTCATTCTGTAACTTGCATGTGTTGGAGATCTCCTTTTATCAGTCCACTATGCCAGGTGTGTTCTTCCATTCAGGAGCTGTGTGGTAGGTGAACTGTGGTCTCTGCAGTGCTGCCCAGAGGCTGTAGAATGATTGCTTTTTTCCTACCCACTGCCTTAATCAACTAGTGTGAAATTCTGTTTTTCTTTAATGGCTTTTAGAAAGGATGGCAGGGCTCCCCTCTTTCATTTGGTCTGTGGTTTGACAATAGATTTTTATCAGAATGAACTGCTACTATAATCTGAAGAAGCATGCCTGCACATGAAAGTTTATACTCGGGAGTTAGACATTTTGGTCTTAAAGGTGCCACTGGATTCAAACACTGTTGCTTCTGACCAACATAGCTACCCATCTGAATCTATCGTTGTATTTGCTTTATGACATACCTGTGGTATTAATTGGTAGGTTTAATTTGGGGTCAGTTTATGAGCCTTTGAAAAAATGGCAGTTAGAGATGTGGGTGGGACAAAAGATAAACATTTCTGGTGGTAACCATCAGTAGGGAGGGAACTGCTGCAGGATCGCAGTGGAGAGGGTATTGCAAGGTGCACATGCCTCCTAGAGAAGGGATTGTCCAAAGACCAGGGAACAAGGCCTGTTGTGATGAGCTTGCAGTTGAAGTTCCAGGCCCTGGCCACAAGGCTGAGTAGCCTGCTTAACTGTCTGGAGACTGTAGCAGCTGAAATGGGCTTTCCAGTTGTTTGTTTATACTCCTTCCTTGCTGAGCTTTCAGTGTGCAGCAGCCCCCCCCCCGCCCTCATGCATATTGCTTTCTCTCCAGGTGCTATAGGCATGAATAACAGAGCGACAATGGGGGGCACCAGCGTTCCAGCAGGACCACCTCCAGCAACTGGTCCTGGTCCAATGATTCCTGATGGAGCCATGGGAATGGTAATGTCATCAAAGAATCAGATTTCATAAGAATTGTAATCAGATTTGATTTGACATGCTTCCAAATGGAAGATTTGCACCATTTTACAGACTAATTTGTGTTGTCCAGACAAAGATACCGTCATAATAGAAGAAATGGCTTTGTGAAAGCCTACAGTGGCTTTGTGGAAAACCTACAAAGGTATTTTAAGCAAGCAAGTCAGACTACATCCCACAGGGATAGTGACCCAATTTTGATCTCTCCCCCACTAGGAGTTGCTCACTTGTATTGGCAAGCATTGCTTTTGCATATTTCTAGCATACATTTCTAACTAGTTGCAACGCAGGGCGTCCCCTAAACATTTTATCCTACTACCCTTCTTCAAAGGAGCTTGGTGCACCTTATAGTCTGTTCTCCTTTCTTTCTCCTGTGACATAGGTGAGGCTAAACGATGGTCACCCCATGAGTTACGTGGAAGCTTGAGTTCTAGGCTAGCATTCCAAGCACTACATTACCCAGATGATGTCATGAATAGAATCCTGCCCACAAAGCAGTTTGGTTTTTTTAGCTGTTGTGGGCTTCGATAAAGTAACAGAGAATGTCTAAAGCAGATTGCACTCTGAGACAGACTTGCCTAGTGATGTGTCCCACTAACTGCAGGTGATGCCCAGATTAAAACAGGGACACAACTAGATACGTGTCGGAATATCTACCAGTTATATCAGTGCCATAGTTTGTCTTCTGCCATGGGGGGGCAGGTAGTAGTTGTTTCAGCCCCAGAACAGGGAGGGGGGTGCTACAGGTTTCTCATTTCATCATGGTATCCCTGATCCCCAGCATTTATGCCAAATGTCCAGGCTCCTTGGGCAGAGATTTAGTGTATGATGGCTTGTTTTTAGAGGTAGGACAGAGAGACTTCTGCGTATGTTCTGCTTTTATGTCCATGGGAAATGCAGCCATTAAAAACTAATGGCTTCTTCTGTATCCTTGAGTTTTCCTCTTTGGTGTACTGGTTAAGAGTGGTGGACTCTTAATCTGGAGAACTGGATTTGATTCCCCACTCCTTCACATGCTGCCAGCTGGGTGACCTTGGTTCAGTCACAATTCTCTCAAAGCTGTTCTCTCGAGCAGTTCTCTCAGAGCCCCCTCAGCCCCACTTACCTCACAGGGTGTCTGTTATGGGGGGAGGAAGGGAAGGAGATTGTAAGGCACTTTGGGACTCCCAAGTGAAGGACAGGGGAGTCCCTTCTGTTTGAGGTATTTGAAGAGTAGGGAAGTACTCACAATTTTGAGGCTCCTCAGAGTTGTTAGTGGAGTTGCAGTAGGCTGCAAGGGATATTCTAACTCAAGCTTTTTTTCCTCCTCTCTTAAAACAAGACTCCACCGCCACCTACGGATCGCTTTGGCCAGGGCAGTGCAATGGAAGGACTTGGAACTATGGGAGGAAATGCACCAGGATTCAACAGAGGAGCTCCTGGGGGAGATTTTGGCCCAAATAAGCGCCGCCGGTACTAATGGGGGGAGATGGGTTGACAGTGCCTCAGCCACCTCCCCAGGGGGGCTGGCCTTGGCAAAGGGGTACACAGCCTGACTTTGTAAAGGGTTTAGTAAACGCCACAAGGCGCATTCCTACAAACCACAATGTGAAAATGGATCCCAGGAGGCTTCAGTAACTGTAGTATCAGACCAGACTAGGACCTTGCTGTCGCTCTCATTCCCAAGCACCTCGGCACAGGTTCAGCCCTCCCAGTTAACTCAGCTGCAGTTGCAGGATTTCCTGTTTAACCTCAGTCCTCTGAACGCGTCTTCAGAGTGCTGAGGCAGATCCTGTAGTATGTACACGTGGGTAGTTTCAAATGGCTTATCATGTAGAGGGAGGGGGGATTTTTTTTAAAAAAAAAAACCCTTGTAGCTTTTTACTTTATTTTCTGGACCATTTTTCTTTACTGTAGCTGGTTGTTGCAGGCAGGAGGGGCAGGTAGTGGTGGTGGTTTGCAGATGAATTATTCAATGTGTTGTACCATTATTTTTTACTGGTAGAAAAGTACAATCTGTTGAACAAGAGAATACTCCAATTTCCTGTTAAAAGATTCAGTTGAAGAGATTTGTATAACCTAACCTTGCCTGTCTTGTGTAGAAGTATGAGACTTTGTGTGAACCTGAGCTGTAATCGTCTACTAACAGGTTGAGTTTGTCTGAAGACTGTTTCAGGAATGCACATTAAAAGGGATTTTAAGCCTTTTTCATCTTGTGTGTGGTCTCTTTTGCTTCGTGGGATGGTGCACTTCTGGTTTATTGCCACTAGAGGGAGTCAAGCAGTTGCCTTTCCGGACCTGTTGGAAATGGCAGCCAAATCATCAGTATTGCTGAGAAGGCCTAAGGCTCTGTGCTTCAAGATGTCCCCACTCCTTTTCCAGCTTTTTCCCCTGCCCTTGCAAAGCCAATATGCTCTTTCTTGTCTGATTGAGCTGGTAGTTCTAGTGTTTACCAGATGCCTTTGTTTTGAATTTTGCCGCCTTCAGAGCCTTTGTTTTGAATTTTGCCGCCTTCAGAGAAAATGGTATGGCATCTGGTGGTTAACATCTAAGTCGGGCTGTCCAGGTTAAAATCCTCACTCAGTCCTAAAGTTCCCAAGTGTCCTTGGGCCAGCAGCTATCAACCTGACCTGTTTCGCTGAGGATAAAAGTTGCGGAGGGGAAAGGCACCTAGACTGCCCTGAGCTGCTTTAAAAAAGGATGGGATTTATGTCGAGTAGAAGGGAAAGATTGTATGTGGAACTTCAGGGTCGAGGTGGAGGTGGAGAAAAATGCCACACTTGACCCTCCGTATGGGACCCTCGTGAGAGTCAAGGCTCCCTGTCAGTCTGCAGGAGAATGAATGAGTCTTTCTCAAACTGTTTCCTCTAGGGGTGGATAAATTGATTTGGAAGGAGCAAGAGCTGGCCCATCTGTGAAATAAAGAGGAGCACTGGAGCCAGAAGCAAGAGTCCTTTAGCAAAGGCCTCTCCTTGCCATAGCAGGGTGCTGGGGGGGGGGAGGGATCCGTGCTCTGGCCTGAATAAATGAAGCCATTTTGGCAGTCATGAGAACCACGTGTTGTACCTCCCATTTACAATGCAACCCAACACCAAGCATTGCCCACATTGTTGGCTAGTGGCGGTCCGTAGTATGCTGCCTGCAATCCTCAGCTTGTTACTTCAGGGGTGACCTATCTAGGCATAGTGGGGCTGGGCTGTTTGGGTACAAAGAACCTCCTGTTGGAGGTCAGTGTAAGGCAAGCCAGATCTCACAGTGGACTGCTGAAGCAACTTCACAGCAACTTGCCTCCTATCTAGAAATGTACTGGGAAGCTGCAATCAGCCAGCCAGGACCTATTGTTGTAAACAGCATAATCCAAGATAAGAGCCTGGATGACCTCTTTCCGTAAGAACCTCGGCCCTATATAAACAGGGTGTGCTAGAAGGCTGCAGAGGAAGGGGCACTAGCACTGCTCAAAGTTCATCCAGTCTCCAAGCATCGTCAGCTATGGCGCTTGCAAGTTTTTTGCTTCGCGGAGCTGTTGGCTGCTAGAACTTCTGTTGTTGGTATGTAGGTATCTGCTTAATTTTACTCAAGCCGAGGGTGGGGGCAATGTCATCAATGGTTCATTTACAGAGAAGGGGATATTAAATTCCCAGTGCTTACAACTGAGCTATGGCATAATTGCATGGGGAGTGAGGGAGATAAAACAACATGTCTGGGGAGTGGTTTTTTTCTCCAGTCCTTTCATACTAATAATACGGCAGCAAGTTGTTAACTGGGCTGCTGGTTAATATTTTGGAGGTCTGTTGGGGAGGAGTGTGATGATGCAAATAGCAAGGCATCATAGCACTGGGGAAAACAGGCATGTTCAACGCTTCCACAGCTGGTTATGTAGAGGCTTCACTGCAGTCATACACCCCGTTCTGAGAACAATGTGTGGCGGAAGCATTCTTCGCTGCTGTTTGTGAATATGACCAAGACAAGAGTGTTGGCTCCTCTTTAAGTGGAGGTGCTTTGTCTGCATCCCTCCTGCCCTCATCTGTGTAACAGCTAATGTGTCTGACGGAGCTGCCGCCAAGTGTATTGAGGCTGGCTGACTAGCCACCACAGAAACACGATTAGTGTTCTCCAAAGCTGGCATGAAAGAGAAAGGCGCACTGATGGGCGGGAAGGGTAGCTGAGGTGACTTGGCATGAGGCTGCTGGAAGCTGTAATCAACAACTGGAATTTCACCCGTGCACAAACTTGGCAGGCAGAGTTCAGCTGCATGATGGTAATCACTGTCCCCTTCTGACATCCAGCTTGGGCTATCCTCAGCCTTCCAAGGGTCTCTGAGCAGGATAAACACATGTTCTGTAGGATTCAGTGTTTTTTAAGTGGCCTATATGCTACACACTTGTTATGACCCAAGCTTTCTATAGGCATAGCTCTTGCACAAAGTTCCTTTGGTGGGCTGGACCTATAATTCAGAAACAGTAGTAGTCAGGCTGTCTGATATGGTACGGCAGAGTCATAAAAACCTTTTCTAACTGGGAAGGAGGTGAGGCTGTGGCCTGTAGAGGAACCTGGGTCCATGGTGGAAACCCCCCCCCCCACTCGTCATCCATTTTTGCCAATGCCTAACTGCCAGTTCTTAGCGGAGTCTCAGATTTCACAGTAGTAAAATACTGTAAAATTTCCTGTAGTAAAAGCCGCACATTTTTCAGAGTTCCAGGGTAAACGATATTCTGTTGCTCCTATTGCGATTTTTTTTTTTTGCCCAAGATTTCTTAACTTTTGAGAGTTAATTCCACAGAAGTGTCATCGTTCAAATAGCTTTTGTTTTCTGGCGTGGGTCTGATCTCATCACAATGCAGGGCAGAGGTTAAACCTCAGCAGTAGATCCATCTCTGCCTGGAGTGAGGAAGGAGATAACCTCAGACAGAACACAATGGAGCCTACCCTAAAGCAGGAAAATTTCCTGTGCAACATTCGGGGGGGGGGGGGGGGGGCGGCCCACCCTGCTTACCTAAACCCTCAATAGTTCAGCCTGATTCACTGACAGCCACAGATGTATCAGGACACAGCTATTTTGCGGATAAAGTTTTATTTTCTACATGGGGCTGCCCTTGTCACCAATCCGGAAGCTGCAGCTGGTACAAAATGCCACGGCCAGGTTGCTGATGGGAATCCCGACTTGGGAGCACATCCGACTTGTGCTAAAGACGTTGCACTGGCTGCCTATGGCATACCAGGTTCACTTCAAGGTGCTGGTTCTCACTTTTAAAGCCCTTTATGGCCAGGGACCTGCATACATTCCCCATATGTATCCCAGAGGACGCTGCGATCTGGGACCCAGAATCTGCTGGCTCTCCCGAGTTTCAAGGAGGCCAGACTGGTGGCAACTAGGGCCAGGGCTTTTTCGGTAGCGGCTCCACTCTGGTGGAATTAGCTCCCAGAAGAGACCAGGGCCCTGTGGGACCTTTTACAGTTCCACAGGGCCTATAAAACGGAGCTCTTCTGCCAGGCTTTGGGAGCTGCCACCACTACTACCTCTACCACCAACAATTGACACCCACGTGGTAGAACCCTGACCTGCTGGACCCTTAAATACTGCCTGAGCCAATTACTCGAGACAGTTGAAGAAGACCAAGGAGCTGGCGGTAAAATGAGGAACGTTTGCTAGCATTTTATTATGTCTTGGTTTTAACATTGTATTTATATTAATTGATGTGATTTTACACTATTGTATTGTCAGAATCTTATTCTGTCTGCAAGCCGCCCTGAGCCAGCCTAGGCCAGGAGAGTGGGATAAAAATCAAATAAATAACTACTTCTGAATCATGAAATGGGTCTATCTACTAGGAATGCATGCAAAGAAACAAATACCTTTGCTTCAAAAAGTCCTTTTATGGATCAAAAACTGGCTAATTAATAGAAAACAGAGAGTGAGTATAAATGGGCAGTTCTCCCAGTGGAGGGGGGTAAGCAGTGGGGTACCACAGGGATCAGTACTTGGTCCACTGCTTTTTAACTTGTTCATTAATGATTTGGAGTTGGGAGTAAGCAGTGAAGTGGCTAAATTTGCGGATGATACGAAGTTGTTCAGGGTGGTGAAAACCAGTGAGGATTGTGAGGCACTCCAAAGGGATCTGTCAAAGATGGGCAAGTGGGCGTCAACATGGCAAATGGGGTTCAATGTGGCCAAGTGCAAGGTGATGCACATTGGAGCCAAAAATCCTAACTATAAATACACATTGATGGGGTCTGAACTGGCAGAGACAGATCAAGAGAGAGATCTTGGAGTTGTAGTAGATAACTCACTGAAAATGTCGAGACAGTGTGTGACTGCAATAAAGAAGGCCAATGCTATGCTGGGGATTATTAGGAAGGGTATTGTAAACAGATCAGCCAATATCATAATGCCGCTATATAAATCAATGGTGCGACCTCATCTGGAATACTGTGTGCAGTTCTGGTCACCACACCTTAAAAAGGATATTATAGCTTTGGAAAAAGTGCAGAAAAGGGCAACTCGAATGATAAAAGGGTTGGAACACTTTCCCTATGAGGAAAGGTTAAGGCGCTTAGGGCTCTTTAGCTTGGAGAAATGACGACTGAGGGGTGACATGATTGAGGTTTATAAGATTATGCATGGGAAAGAGCAGGTAGAGAAAGAGGTACTTTTCTCCCTTTCTCACAATACAAGAACCCGTGGGCACTCCATGAAATTGCTGAGCGGTCGGGTTAGAACAGATAAAAGGAAGTACTTCTTCACCCAAAGAGTGATTAACACTTGGAATTCACTGCCACAGGAAGTGGTGGCGGCTACAAGCATGGACGGCTTCAAAAGGGAATTAGATAAGCATATGGAGCAGAGGTCCATCAGTGGCTATTAGCCACAAGGTATAGATAGGGACTCTGGGGCAAGTGATGCTCTGTCATCTTGGTGCTTGGGGGGGGGGTCAACAGTGGGAGGGCTTCTAATGTCCTGGCCCCACTGATGGACCGCCTGATGGCACTGGTATTTCTGGCCACTGTGGGATACAGAGTGTTGGACTGGATGGGCCTTTGGCCTGATCCAACATTGGCATCTCTTATGTTCTTATGTTCTTAACTGTGTGTGTTCAAGACAGATCCATGTTCATAACTTTGATATAAACTAAACTTAGTAAATCATCTGTTTTTAACATGGGCAGTTACCATGATCAAGGCCCACCACCACCACCACACACACTCTGCTATAAGAGCAAATGGGTCCACACAACTTTACCAGCAGCATTTCCTGGAAAGGGGGAGGTCACTTGTGCCCCTTTGATGGAGCAGAGAGTGCTCTCCCAGTCTGCAGCAATGGACCAAGATTCATCAATGGGATTTCTGCTTGTCACAGAAGCCTTGCTAGATGAAAACCTAGCAACCTTCAAGAAGTGTGTAGGGTTGCCTGTATTTCAACCTACCGTGTAGATGGCCCTTTAAGAGTAGTTTGAACTGCTGCAAGGAGCAACTGATCATACCTAGCATCAGGTAATGAAAAGCTCCACCTGTGGATGTCTGGGTTTTCCCTTGGTAACTTAAAGAGCATCTCTTGGCCTGAGGTTAGGCTGTCGAGGACAGGAATTGACTGCTTCTATTCTTCCAGCACCCTGTAGGCAGGGTTTCTGTTCTCCAGTCCTCTGACATTGCATTGTTACGTGGTCATCATCTCCCAAGACTGGGCTGTGGGAGCAGACTGCCACTCCTGGACTGATGCTTGATTACATGTCCCCACCCTCATTTCTCGACAATAGTGGGGAGCAGAACCAAGCTGTGCCCAGTCTCTTCCCCCTCTTTATAACATCAGCAGCCTGAAGCAGGATGGAATAGCCATCCATGCCCCACCCCTTTTACTTCCCCCAGGCTTCTTACATTAGGAGGATGTTCTGGCCCCTTACTTGCATTGCTGGCATCATCTTCTTCCACCCTTCATTCATAGCACTGTTACTCACAGCACTGTTCCCTCCCCCATCCCTTCAATTTGGGAATAAACCATTTAAGAGATAGTGAGAGAAAGCTAGCTGAAACTGCTAATCCCTGCTTGGCTTTAACTGTTTCCGTTCCCCCCAGCCTGGAAATCTGCTTTGGACCCCTGCACTTTTACTGCCTTCACAGAGATGCCTTCTGAACAAGCCAGAGTCCACCCAGTGGTGCAAATGCTTATTGATTTCACTGCAGGGGCTGCTGGTGAGTCTTCGTGGTGGTGGGGGACTGGTAAATGGAGCAAACCCTTTGATGGAGCTTATTAGAGACCAAGGATGGTTGGTTGGGGTGGATTTGGGGACCTTGGGCATTGGCTGCAAGGTAAAGGAAAGCATATAAAACTTGGGTAAGAATAATGGAAGATTGAGTTCCAAAGCAGAGAATGGGGAGGGACTCTTGTGGGTCTGGGATGGGTAGAAAGAGTGGGTTGTCTGTAATTTTTCATCTTGCCAGGGTAACGTTGTTATTTTCTTTGCCCAAGTGGCTGAAAGGAGGCTCCTTCCATGCTGGCTGCGATCTGCATTATTGAAACTGCTGCCCACGACATGCTAAGGGCCAGCAACTGGTAGCCTTGGCCTAAAGCGTGCCTCCAGGTGTCAGCTCTGTAGGTGAAGGAGGCAGGGAGGTAGCAACAGTTTGTGGCAACAGGATTTGCTGTCAAACATCATAAGAGGACTGTGCTCTGCTTATGTTCTCAAACTGGTTATCTAGCCAAGCTGACTGCTGACTATCCCTTAAGTATTTATTTATTTATTTATCAGACTTATACCCCGCCCTCCCCCGTAGGGCTCAAGGCGGCTAACAAGGCAAGAAATCTTGCAACAATAAAACATAATTCATATAGTTAAACAATTATACAATTTAAAACCAATCCCAGTACAGATTTAAATTTAAAGTGCTCGTTGATCTTCATTTCCAAAACCCCCAAAGATGACGGGCCAAGTCCAGAGGTTCCCCATAGTCGTTCAGTGGTTTCAATATTTATTCAGATGTTCAAGAATTCAGATGTTTCCTTCCTAGGGCCTCTTCCACCCCCCATGATGACAATATAGCAGGCGGGCGGGGGGCGGCGGCCCCTACTCGAAAGCCTGGTGGAAGAGCTCCGTCTTGCAGGCCCTGCGGAACTGCATCAGGTCCCGCATGGCCCGGATCTCCTCCGGGAGCTCATTCCACAAGGTAGGGGCCGCCACCAAAAAGGCCCTGGCCCTTGTAGCGACCAGTTTTTTCTCTGGGGCCCGGTACAGTTAGTAAATTTTGGGCCCCAGACCATAGTGCTCTTGGGGGAACATACGGGGAAAGGCGGTCCCTCAGGTAGGCTGGACCCAGACCATGTAGGGCTTTATAGGTAAGAACCAGCACGCCTGTTAAGTACTCCTGTTTCCCAAACACACCCATTCAGGGGAGACCCCATCACAGTTGCTTAGAAAATGGTCCATCGTGTTGGGTGAGTGGAGAAGTCAGGGGATCTCATTTTTGGTGTTTTCTATCCAGTTATGTTTCTGGTGGTAGATTTGGAAAGGTGTGCATTGCAGTGGATTTTGGAAGCAAATGGCACTGACAGGGTTCCTTGCAGGAGGTGTAGCCTGTGTGGTGAGCGGGCAGCCCTTTGACACCATCAAGGTGAAGATGCAGACCTTTCCAGCCATGTACCGGGGCTTCTTCGACTGCTCAGTCAAGACCTACCAGCAGGAGGGCATGTATGGTCTCTACCAGGGCACCACCCCAGCGTTACTGGCCAACATTGCTGAGAATGCGGTGCTGTTTGCCTGCTATGGGTTTTGCCAGCAGTTGGTGAGGCAGCTCTTTGGACTTGGCAACATTGTGGAGCTCAGGTAGGGAAGCTTCTCGCACATGAGGTTGGTAACGCTGATGTAAAGTGGTATTCACAGAGCCCCAAGGGGAAGTGGTCTGGTGGTGGTACCTCCAAGTGCATCCTCCACAGTGTTGGCTCCTTTTGATTGGCAAAAGACAACCTCCAATAGGGATTTTAGCAGTCTGGAGGGTCTAGATTCAAAGCTGCTTCTTAGTATGGACTGGAGGTGGGTTTGGCAACTGTTTTTCTCCTTTTTAAGGATCTCTCTTCCATTACAGCGACTTGCACAGGGCAATTGCTGGCTCCTTCTCCTCCGTCTTCTCCTCCATGGTTCTATGCCCCACAGAGTTAGTGAAGTGCCGGATGCAAGCTCTCCATGAGATGAAAGTTACAGGACAGACAGCTCTTTCACAGCGCAGGTACTCGAAGACGAGACACAGAGGTTCAATGTAGGCGCTACAACCAAAAGTTGTACATGAAGCTGTACAACTCCTTTTCAGAGCCACCTTGTGACCATCGATGCGTCTTGTGTTGATGAGTTCCCCAAATGAATCCTGTGTTGCAAGCAGAAGTACTTCCTTTTTGTTTATATTTGCATTCGATTTTGCTTCTTTCTTCCTCCACACTGTTCATGGGTCACAGGATTCCCCTCCCTCTTGCAGCTCCACATGGACTGTGATGAAAGCCATCTTCCAATCGGAGGGCCCCTTAGGTTTCTTCCAAGGCCTGACCAGTACATGGCTGCGGGAGGTGCCTGGCTATTTCTTCTTCTTTGGGGGTTACGAAGTCAGTCGAAGCTTCTTTCTCCAGGCTGGACAGTCAAAAGAGGAGTTGGGTAAGCAAGGCTGGCTGATGACTGCAACCTCAGGTTACCAGTTGCTCTGTTTTGTTCAGGAATTGGAGGAAGTTAGTTGGAAAGACACAAGGCTGACCTAGAGGTTCTATTGGAATAAATGCACTGAACCACAGGAACTGGGCTTCTGCTTGGGTAGTTAGCAAAAGTAGCTATAAGAAAAGGGGATGTGTGCATGTTTTGCAGTTGCAACATGCAAGCAGGGAACAGACTGGACACTGAATTTAGCATTGGAGAATTTCAGCTCTAAGCACTGCCTCAAAAGCCAAGGCCAGGGTTGTATGAGAGTATTTCTTTGGGAAGCTGTTATGCACAGTATGCTGGTCTCCTAGTTAGTTGGTGCTGGACAATGCTCTGAGGCCCCATTCCAACTTGGCTTTCTTGCTCCCATGCCTGCTGCTTGCCTGCCTGCCTGGAATGCCTCAACATTTTAGGAAGTGTATAAACTCTGCTGACAGCTCCTGTCCCAAGCAGAATATTAGATGACTTTGTCCATACACAGGAGCCCTGTGAAAATACTAGTGCTCTTTTTTTTTGGGGGGGGGGATGTGTGGTGCATGCAGGGACACTGATCTAGATGGGGAGCTGGCTGCTTGCTTCTCCTCAGTCCCAGCAAGAAGGTCCTACCCGGGTATCTTGACCCAGGATCTTCAAGTAGAAGGGCTCCCTACCTCTGCTGCAGGTCCCTTGACCCCTAGTGCTTCCTTAGGAGTTGCCTGACCTTGTTGCAGCCATGGCTGTGCTGCTGCTGATTGCTTGGCTTTCTCTTCTGCCAATGATGGTTTGTTTCTGGGTGAATAATGACCACCAGGTTGTAGCTTATGGTTGCAGTGACCCCTTGGGAAGCAAGTGGTGGGCAGGGTCTTGGCACTCCCTTACCACTTTCCAACATACCTGCTCAGGTGCAGCACTGAGGTCACACTCTCCTCGCCACCTGACAGGGCAATACAATGGCTGTCTACCCAAGTGGTTATGTGCATGCTTGAGAAATATTTGTCTGTTCTTGGCCAAACCTGGTAACTCTGAGAACCACAGCTTGAACCCTGGTGCTCTGCCAATACTTTCCTGCTAGGCTCAAAACCACTTACTGAAATCTCTCTCCCTTGCTCTGCTCTTCTGCTTGGCCTTTGTGCAGTCCCACCTATAATACTGTGCCCTTGGAACCAGTAGGGAAGCTTGCAGACACTGGAAGGGTTCCACCCCAAGGCATTCTGAGCCTTGAGCATGTGCTTAGGGGACAGCCAAGCAAGCTCCCACTCTCCCTTACTGGGGGGGGGGGGAACCAAGTACTGTTATGAGTCCAGGGCATGGAGCATTCTGTGAGGTCTGGGGATTTCTAGAAGGTTCTGAGAGTTGATTTGTACCATCCATTTGACAACTGTCAATGACCAGTATGGGCAACTTTGTTTTGTAGGAGCTCTTCCTGTCACAGTGAGTGGTGGAATTGGTGGTGCCGCCTTCTGGCTGGCTGTCTATCCCATTGATTCAGTGAAATCTCGGATTCAGGTGCTGTCTATGGCTGGGCGGCAAAATGGCTTTCTGCTTTCTTTCCTGCACATCTTACGGACTGAAGGCAAGTGCTGCATACAAGTCTGGTCTCCTCAAATACCAGCATGGTATAGTGATTAGTCTTGGACTGGGAATCTTGGAAACCCAGGTTCAAATCCCTACCCTGCCATGGAAGCTCGCTGGGTGACATTGGATCAGTCATTTTCTCTCAATGTAACCTACATCACGGGGCTCTTGGAGGAGGGAAGAACAATGTTTAAGCTACTTTGAGTCCTTGGAGACCAAAGTGGGGTATATATATCAAAGTAAATGCCATGTGTGTGGAGAGGAATGGGCTGTACCTCGGTCTGTGGATCCAGCTTCTCTCCAAAAATGGCCCTCTTCCTCCTGGCCATACTGATTTGCCTTGTATTTATGTTGCAGGCGTGATGGCTCTTTATTGTGGGCTCATGCCCACAGTGATCCGAGCACTGCCTTCCAATGGTGCCCTCTTCCTTGCCTATGAAATGACCCAGAAAAAGCTGACCAGCCTGAGTGAAAGGACAACCTGACAGCAGTGTCTGGTCCTGGAGCAAAGGACTCATGTGCAAGATGGAGCAGCACTTGAACTTCCCTCTTTTTAATGGGACTGCTTACAGCCAAGCCCACTCAAAAGGTTCTTAGAGGACATGCCAGGCCTGAGAGAGAGAGCAGGCCTTTTTGGATTTCAGGGTGTCTGTCGGTGGGGTGGAAGCAGGAGAAAAAGACCAGAGTCCTCCTCTCTTGGCACATGTCCTGAAGACCTGCAGTGACAAAGGCCATTTCCCCCCTAAGAACAGCAGGACTTACCGGGGGAGGTATGTGATGGGAAATGACCAAAGGCATCCTTCTCCCATTGCCTTCCCAACCTCCGTGTCATGCGGGGAATTATTTTGAAAGAGTCTATCTTCTTTTTTTTAGTACAATAAAAATGTGTGTCTCAGCCACTTCTGGTTCATATGTAATATTTCTGTGCCACTGGCAGAATGAGGCCCTGTGAGTTGGGGACTAGCTCGGCATTCTCATTTGTTTTTCTCTCTCACGTTCACACTATGTGTTTTATACTGGGAAATGTACAGCTTTGTGTGGGTTCCTAGGAAACCCAGAAATAAATTTGGTTTCTGCAATCCTGGTATGTTTCTTTCTCTAGAATTGCTCTCCTGGAAGGTTGTGTCCTTGTAGTTAATGGACAAAGTAGAACATTTCCACTAACATCTGGCTTCCCCTGTGTTCCTCTCCAACCACCTTTTGCTTGCTATTAGCATCAGTTCTTCTTGGTGGTGTTTAGGTAGGGATGCCCCCACTCCCAAGATGCGTGGGTTGCTTTAACTGACAGCTTGTTCTTGTGTCACTGATGCCCATTTCCACAGTGGGCTTGAAGTGGCAGGAAGACCACCTCAAAAGGGTCTCTCTCTGGATGGGTGCTAAACTGGCAGTCTGTTTGATTTTGAAGCATTTCCACGTGTGACACTTAAAGCATTAAGTCTCTTGCAAATGCTGTGTAGGCACCTACATGGACATTAACACAGCCAACAAACTACAGCAGGAGACACAGCCTACTTTGTAGCCAAGGTGGCTCTCTGTCAATTTGAAGGCAGCTGCAGGAATACCCCACCCAATTTGACTTTAGGATAAGCTGTGAAAATAGCTTTGTGATCTCCCCCCCCCCCCATGCAAAAGTAAAAACAGTGTTGTCTTTCTGTGCCCACACCTGCAAGGCAGAAAGACTCAAATGCAGGCTTCAGCCAGTGTTGGTGTTGCATTTTTAAAGTAAGGATGTAGGCGAGGCAAAAAAACAGTCTCTGAATCATGCACGGAGGGGAAAAAAACTAGACCTGTTCTCAATATGCTTGCTGCTCCACGTGACATTCCTTCTCCCTGGGGGCAACCAGATGATTCTTGAAGGCTGAGCAGTTGCATGCCCATTTTTGGGTTAGGCTCCAGTTTCAAGTCCGCCCCTTGGCCGCTGCTAAAGATAGCCAAGCCTGATTTCTTGCACTGCCACGGAGAACCTTTGACTGACAGGGATACTGCCTGAAGCAGGGCCTGTTCCGCTTGGGAACAAGAGCTGGCCTTGTGAGCACCACATCCAGGAGATGGCTTTGCTGTGTTACAACAAGGGCTGTGGGCAGAGGTTTGACCCAGAGAAGAACACCCACGGTAAGCAGGGACTAAGACTGGGGAATAGCTGGTTGGCTCCGTAGGTCTCTGAATACCCACAATGCCTTGCTTTGAATTTGCCGGGAATTACAATTTGTTGCCAAGGAGTACATGCCTGGATTATTGTTATTAACATTTCAAGTGTCGCTGTTATATGTAGCCACTTTTTTCTTCTTCTGGTAGGTCTCCTGTGCCTTTAGCAGCTGCATGATTAGCAGATTCAACAGGTGATGTGTTTTCCAACAGGCAGGGACATGCACTGAGATTCCCCTGTCAGATTTCTGCCTGTCACACAGCAGTTAAAACAGAAGGAGTCTGTGCTATGGAAACAATGAAAGAGGCAACTAACGCTCCTGCAGGGCTTTCCCAGATGAAAATGTTTTTGTTATCCAGGTTCCAAACATACACTGCAGCATATGGTGATGCCCTGAGATAGGGTGATAAATATCATCTGGTGCAGGCAACAATATCATATGAGTAAAGAGAAGTGCCTCTAAGCATATGTAGAGTTTGTAGCATCACCAAGTAACCCAAAACAGTCCTGACACAACTGGGCGGAAGGGGGTTGTCTTTAAGGCAGAAAATCTATATTCCAGAAATGCTGGGAGTGTGTGGTCATGGATAAATTCCACCAGCAGCCACATGAGTAAAGATGGCAGAGGAAATGTGTGGTGTGCAATCTCTCAGCTTTCAAAATTGTGCTTCATTTTTGGCACTGGGGGGATTTCTTAAGTCCCTCCCCAACTTTGACATCTGGGGCTTCTAGAAGGCTGTGGATGCTGCTGGCAGGCAAGTTGTGGCAGGTGCCTGTTTCACGCTTGGAGATCAGATAGACTGGGATGTAAACATGAGCTTTTCAACTCTCTTTCCCCAACCCAAGGAATGTCAGCTTTGGAATGTCCTTTGGGGAGGAGATGGAGATGAAGGAACACTTGAATGGGCTCTGTGACGTCCTTGCTTATTGGGGGGACTGTTTTTATCTTTAAAACACTCTCTGTGTACCTAAACTTGGTAGATTTCTGCTGCCACCAGGAAGTAAAAATTCCAAATCTGTCTCTTTTGCTAGAATGACGTTCTGGGCACTTCAGAGGACTATGTGGCCTTGAGGAAGGACTATTCTGATTTCTGGAATAAGTTTAAACAAAAAAAAAAGATTTATTTAATAAAGAACATAATATGTTTCTGGTTATTTTGAACTGTTGCTGATGAAAGGAACTTGTAAATATAACTGGCAAAGCTTGGTGTCACAGTCTCTCAAACTCCCAAAACTCCACTCTGACAGGTGTAGACACTCAGTCTAATATCTCTCTAATCTATATAGCCACACAGCCTGAACTCTTTGTCTTATTCACACATAATAGACTCACCCAAACTATGCTCTCTCTTCAAACTTCACACATAGAATCACTCATAGACACCCCTCCTCTCACACTCAGTCATCAGCCAATCACATCATACTTACCTCCCTCTATCACTCTTCTTACAGTACTGCAGTCAAACTAAACATTTAAAGAAACACACCAAAACATGAAGTCATTACAGGCTCTGATCCTCTTTGGCAGTTTCCTTACTCAAGTGCAGAGCTTGAAGTCTAACTGGCCCAGCTTTGCTCCAGAGGAACTCCACATAGGCAGAGACAGGACTTCTGCTCCCAAGAATTAATGCTTAAGTGGAAGTGCTTTTGACCCAAAGTGACTAGTGTGGAGAGCCTTTGCAGTAAGGGTGGCATCCATTTGGAACGGTCCATATTTTTTGTGTAGAAGACCAGGTACAAGACCACCACAAGCTGCTTAGTGTAACAAATGATGCAGAAGTCTGTAGGTGTGGATTGAGCCTCAGTGGTGAGCAAAGGGACACTCTTTCCATGCTCAAAGCCACAACCTTAGTATGTTTTTGAAGTTGGCACACTCCCCTTTGAGCTCCCAGATCAGTACATAGACACGTGAAGCTGTGATACATAGGCTGATATAGGTCAGCCTGGCAAAGAGCAATCGAGGGAAAACTCTAGGACAGGCATGTCCAACTTCGAACAGGTAGTGATATTATTTTTTCCGGCCAAAAGTGCCGGTGATCTACTACCATGAAAATAAAGTTTCAAATTAGATTTTACCCCACTAAAGTTGGGTTCCACCGCCCCCCCCCCCCCCACGCTGATGCCAAAACACACCCTACCACTCTAAAAATAAGAATTCATCATACTGGCACCAATAATCAAATACAACCAAACAAAAAAAACCCCAGACACCTGTCCAGCAAACCAGGAGACCAAGTGGGGCTGGTGATCTACCTCTGACCCCTCCGCGATCTACTAGTAGATCGCGATCTACCTGTTGGACATACCTGCTCTAGGAGATTGGCCTTTCCTCCCAAGTCTTATTGTACCTTGGGCACCAAAAAGCTTAAGAAACAGTTAAACGGTGTCTCTGGGATCAAGCTCTACAATCAGATAGAGCACAGACATGGAAACATCCAATTATTCTCCAATATACTAAATGCTTTCAACCAGCAGATTACCTCAGATCCCTCATGATCTCCAAATATCGGAGAATCTTTACTCTTGCATGCTTTAATGTTCTACCCTCAGCCCTCCTGGAATGCAGATACCATCATGTGCCACTCTCTCAATGGCTCTGCCCATGTCATGCAGGGAAAGTAGAGTCTATCAAACATGTTCTGCAGCACTGCCCATTTTACAACAATATCCGATCTCAATATATAGCTTCAATTCTGTCAACTATACCTCTCCCTCCACCTTGCAGACTTTCCCCATGAGACAACTAATAAAAGTTGCGAAACTGGAGCTAGCTCTTTGGGTTTCCATTTCCAGTACTGTGGATGAAAAGCAACCTTGCGTCAGATGTGACTCCAAGGCTGTAATCTGCCTGCCTCCGGGGCCTGGGATTTTTTGATACACCCTTCTAGCCTTTACCAGTGAGAATAGCCAAGGAGCTGGTCTGGGTGGTGAGAATGACGGACCTTTGCTGAAATTGCTGCTTCCCCTCTTTTGTCTCCTGTTCTCAGACTCCTGTCTCCATCACCCAGGTTTCCCTATCTTCCATGATGTCTTGAAGGTGAGTGGGCCTGAGAGCTCTACTGAGGCGCTCTCAGCAGAATTTTAGGCAGGGGGACATGTGTGGGATTGCATGGATACTGGTCAACGGACAGGTATGAGGACTGAAAGGGACGGATTGTGGTAGTGTCTGCACAGGGATGTCTAACCAGCATTTCTAGTAGCCCACGAGGCCTGTTTTTCTTACTTCCCTAGAGGCCAAGTAAGCATTGTCTGGCAAGGGGAAAGCGGTGGGAGTGTTTTTGTAGCAGCTTCTCCCTTGCTGCACAAAACACAGCCTGGTGCCATTTGGAAAGAGGTGCTCTTTGCTGTTCTAAGCTGCTGGTAGATTTCCCAAAAAGTACTTTCCCTGATGGTCGCTAGAAGAACATCTCCAGTTATCGCTGGCGGCCATATTAGTGATTTCTGTATTGAGGAATGGGATGCTCATGCTGAATTGTTGTCTGTAGGGCTGGTCTTGCTGCAAGAAACGAACCACCGATTTCTCCGAATTCCTCTCCATAAAGGTACGTCTGTGTCCATTGTCACCCATGTGATCTGCCTGGTTTTGCTGGTTTCTACACGCTATTTGTCCTGCGAACCTAGCAGTTCGAAAGCAAGAAATTGCAAGTAGATAAATAGGTACCACTTCAGTGGGAAGGTAACAGCGTTCCGTGCGCCTTGGTGTTTAGTCATGCCGGCCACATGACCATGGAAATGTCTTCGGACAGCGCTGGCTCTTCCGCTTTGAAATGGAGATGAGCACCGCAACCCTAGAGTCGGACTCGACTGGATTTCGAGCAAGGGAAACCTTTACCTTTACCTTACATGCTATTTGAGGTTAGAGACTAATCTCTGCTAAATCATCAATCCTAATGAGGTTTTTGAATTTGTAACTTGTCCTGTCTTAGAAACTTGGGCTTAGTTAATGACATGAGTTACATTTATTTAAATTCTGACCCAGCTTGCCACTCCATCTGCAGGGGGAAAATATTAGTTTGAAATGGATAATAGCACAATGGTTCTGGCCCCCTAACTTCATTTTGAAACATTGGTCCGTGTACTCCAGTAGGGTCAACCTTGTCAGGCAGAGAAAGACCAGCTACCCCTGAAGATGTCAGGGTTCAGTCCTGGCACCTTCTGAGGGCAAAGTACTGCGCTTCCACAATAATGCAAAAGCGAGTAGCTGGTGCATGGAACAGGTGAAGGGCTTACATCAAAAGAGGAGCTGGTGTTCCCTGTAATGTAACTATGACAGAAGGAAGCAATCCTGCATGTATGTCTACTCACTAACAAACTTGCAGGTTGATCCCATGCTTTCCTGCTCTCACAGCTTTGAAATCCTGAAAATGATAATATTTTGCAGTACTTTGATATGTGAGTATACTGTGAGAGCCAAGTAGGTGCTTATTCTGGGAGTCAAGGAGACTTTGTTCATCTGTTAGGGCATTTCTCACTGCTTTAAGAGAAATTGCTTATGTCATGAAGTTGGAGGGAAAAGGCCCAACTCGATGCATTTTGTTCTTGAAGGGCTGCACAAGAGGGTATCACAGCAATGAGAAGCCCCCAGAGCCTGAGGAGCCTGAGTCAAAAAGCAAAACCAGCTCTGAGATCATTGTTCGGGGGCCAAAGTCAGTAGAGATGATGGAGCGTGAAAGACCCAGGTGAGCCTGTGGGAATGGTCCATGCATGTGTTTTCCTTCTGGGGCTAATGGCATGTGACTGGTTTGGGAGACGTTTGACAGTCTAGTCAAGCATCCTGTTTCCAACTGTGACCAGCCATATGCTTTTGGGAAGCCCAAAGGCAGAGTGTGAAGGCTAGAGCCCTCCCCTTTTCTCTTTGTCCAACCATCTGGGCTCAGGGTAGACTGCCTGTGAATTGGGTAGACCAACAAGATTTTTTGGGTATAAGCTTTCAAGAGTCAGATCTCCCTTCATCAGATATCTTGTTGGTCTCTGTGCTACTGGACTTGAATGTAGCTGTTCTACTGCAAAATACACGGCTACCCTCTGAAACTGAATTGGGAAGGTTTCATTAAAATGTTGTGGCCAGTAGCTATTGATATGTCTATTATTTCCTAGGAATTTGAGTTATTTTTTTTTAAGCCATCTGAGCTTAGTGGTAGAGAGTTCCATAAGCTAATGCTACCTTGTGTGAAGGAGGACCCAGTGTGGAGGAGTGGCGGGGCTCCTGTCCTGTTGGCACCTCTTTTTGCTTGAAGTCTGGTGCTAGTTTCTTAGCCTTCAAAGCTCTCCCAACCTCTCTTGTTGGCTTTCTCCAGTCCAGATGAACCAATGAAGCTACTGCCAGTGAAGGTATCTGAGTCCTTAGAGCAGGCCCTAAAGAAGCTGGATTTGTCATCCAAGGAGCAACCAGCAGTGCAAGGCACTGTGGGCACTGGTGAGAAAGGGAGGAAGAGGCCAGACTGGGAAGGGAAGGGTGTCGTGTTTGGAATTTGTGTGTCATTGTTTGAACTCTCAAGGAGAATCTGAAGGCTGCATCCTCCTTGGATAAGGAAGCAGGGTTGAGAGACTGCAGGCTTAAAGGGCCAAACCTCCACATTGTATGTGGCTGGCTGGAAGTAGCCTTTGGTTCTGGGAAGCTCTATGTGGGGGGAAGGTGGGGAGGGTTGGGACTCCAGCCCACACCTCTACTGCTAGGGCTGGATTGAGCCTGATAATGAAACTGCACAATAGGCCCCCTGCTGAATTTGAGGTTCCTTCTCTATTTGGCATCCTCCATATTCCTTGCTGTAGGAAAATGTGAATTACTGGTATTCAGAAATAGAATATTGATTACATTATAGATTGGGCTTGGCATGTGCAGACTAACCCTGGTCCAAACCTGTTTGTTTTTTTTTTTTGAATGAGAGAATGTGTGACCAGTCTCCTGGTCCAGGACCTGAAAATCTTGGGGATGTACATTAATGAGTGGATTGAATGTTGCATCTGGCTAGAGTTTGGGGGCTATAATTTGAGCTCTTCCAAAGTGCCTGACTCTGTTTCTGGCTGTTACAGATGCTGCCCTTCAGGTGACACTTGGCATGACCTGCAAGAACTCTGGCTGCAAGGCGGTGAGTTGCATCTTTGCCGCTCCCCTTGTGGACTCTTGCTGGATGTTCCTGTGGTCTCTTGGCCTTGGAACTACCTCCCCAAGAAGGCTGTGCTTTCCCGTCATCAGAATCCTCCCCTCTAGCCCCAAGCGTGGAGGCAAGCCCTGTACTGGAAAGCATGGCTCCTTGACTCTGAGACAGCAGAGGGAGCCATAGGTTGTTGGCTGTGCCAGGTGGCTGCCAAAAGAAATGCATTGTCAAGACAGAGGATGTGGTGTGGGGGAGGAGAGAAGGGCCCCCTCCAGCTGGAGTGGCACAGGGACCTTCAGGGCTGCTTTGCTGACCTTTCTGCCTCACTGGTCTTTCAGGTTTACCAGGGGGAAGAGAGCAATACGGAGACCTGCATATTCCACCCTGGGATCCCCGTCTTCCATGAGGGGTAAGGGGGGGGGGAACTCCTCCACTCACCTTCAGTCTTTCCCCAACTGCTTTGACCAGGTCAGTGACCAAGCTTGGAGTGCCTGGCCTTTGTCTGCCAAGGACAGAACCCTTGCCAGTGCAGAGATTTGTCTCCCAGCCTAGCCTCTTCCATGAAGCTGGCAAAGCGGTCTCTGCACTGGTCAAGGTAAGTGCACTGAGCAGACAGCAAGAATCACTACAAGGTTTTCTTTCCTGCACTGTGTCCTGTGCAGTGCCTCACCTGAGCAGTGAGAAATTCCAGGAAGCCTCTGCAGGCCATTTTTAGAGAGCTGGTGACTTTTTCAAAAGCTTTGCAGCACCCTGATAACTTACAAATGGCACAAGGATTGCAGGTAGGGGGCTGGAGATCAGTTCCTTTAGAGAAAATGGCTGCTCTGGAGGGTAGAATCTATAGCATTATACCCTGCTGAATTCCCTCCCCTCCAAAACTCAACCTTCCCCAGGCTCCATCCCCAAATCCCCAGGAATTTTCCAACCCAGAATTGGTAACCTTAATTGTTGGGCACAGAAGCACCATACAGGCTGGTAGTAGTGGGACTGAGCAACGTCTGCTAAAGTACAGGTTTCCAAATATTTCTATTATCTTCCTTTGCACTGAGCAAACCCACCTTCTAGCCATGGCTGTGACTTAAGACAGATTGCAAGAGCAGCTGAATTCTGCTTCTTATTTATTTAGACTATTTCTATGCTCAATGCAACTTAGAATTAAAAACCAAAGTATATAAAAACAAGCCATTAAAAAACCAACAAGCCATTAGACATTAGCAGCATAAAAACCATCCATACAACAGAAGCAGATCCTTCAAAAGCTGATAAGATAAAACCCCTAAATATGTTTTAGCTCGGCACCTACAAGAAAATAAAGTAGGTGCTAGGTGAGCTGCAAGAGGAAGGGTGTTCCAAAGGCAAGGTGCCACCAAAAAAGATCCTGCTCCTAGTTGCCACATGCCTCGCTTTTGAAGATGGAGGAACAGAAAGCAGGGCTTTGGAGGAAACTCTTAATACCCAGGCCTTTTGCTAATACCCAAGCAGTTTTTGGCACCTAAAAGTGCCATCTTGAGTACAGTGCTGAATTCATACCCATTCTGCCACACAGTCCTATTCCTCTGGGTGGCATGGCTTAATTCTCTGCCCTCTGCCTCATTCCTGAGCTTCCTTCCAACATGGGTTCCTTGATCCTCCCCAGCATGAAGTACTGGAGCTGCTGTGCAGTTAAAACAACAGACTTCACTGCATTCCTGGAGCAGAAAGGCTGCAGCAGAGGGAAGCACATCTGGCTGAAGAAGCAGGTAAGGAATTGCCCCATAAGCTCCTCTGCCTAGGTGCTAGATCAGGGTTGGGGGAGTACCTGTATGATGTGCTACTAAAGTCTGTGGATGGCTCTCTCTACACTTTAAGACAGATCTTACCAGATTTATTCCATTTCTAACTTTGGCTACTTGGGAATGGGATCTCACTGTGTGTGTATTGTCTTCCTGTCCTCTTTTGAAATTCCTATTATAGAGCTACTATTGCATAATGGTTATGGAATTGGTTCAAATCCCTACTCTACTATGGAAGCTTGCTAGGTGACCTTGGGTGTGTCTCCCCCCCACCCCGGTCTCACAAACACATACATCATTAGCCAAAATGGCATCAGGATGAACAACAGTGGGGGCTGCAGGAGAGAAATTATCAAAACAGGGATGTCAGGGAGAAACAGAGAGCAAGGCCAGAGGCTGGACCGCTCTGTGTGCTCTCCCTCAGATGCTAACTTGTTGCTAGGAAGCTCCCCTTTTCTCTTTACCACACTTTGTGGCTCAGAGGTAAGAAAGTGGAAAGCTATACAGGTAATCCTTGCAGCTTGGTGGGCCAGAAGATCTCCTCTCTTGTTTCAGCATTGCACTACAATACTGTCTTTAATAGCAGCAATATGAGGCGCTGGGGATGGTGTTTACAGTTTCTAGTAAAGATGCCAGATCCTTGAGCAGTGGCGTAAGACTGTTAACTGACTCTTCTTGGCAACAGGACAGGAAACTGGTGTCTTGTCGGCAGGACTGGCACCAAACCAGCAGCCAAGTGGTGGTAACTGTCTATGCCAAGACCCCTCTGCCAGAGCTGAGCTTCGTGAAGGCCAACCGTACTGTGGTAAGTGTGGAGATCAACTGATGCCAGCTCTGCCATGAGAAAGTCTGAGTGGTGCTTGATCTGCATGGGGAATTTATATTGGTGAACCATTGTAGTCTTCCTCTAGATGAGATTGGCAACGTGGGAGGGCTCTTCCAGCATGTCTGACCTAGAATACAGCCCAGATTACTGAAGCTGCTTCCTCTCTCCTAGGCAATGCCTCAGTGGCAAAGAATCTGTTTTGCATGCAGAAGATCCCAGGTTCAATCCTCAGTATCTTCCGTTAAAAAGATTAGGTCACAGGCAATGGGAAAACCCTCCACCTGAGACCTTGGAGAGCCGCCAGTCAGAGTAGACAATATTGACCTTGATGGGCCAATGGTCTGATTCTGCAGGATACAGTTTTCATGTGTTCTTTTCCTCACTCCTGACAGCTTGACATCCATGTCATCTTTGAGGGAGACAAGGCTTTCCAGGCAGAGTTGGATCTCTGGGGGGTAAGTCTTGGTTTCCTTGTCTCTGTCCTTACTTTGAAAATGTCTTTGGCTGTGAAAAGACTGTGGTCATAGCACCTGCAGTGATGGGGAGGAAGCCTCACTTATTGAGCTTGGCATGCAGCTATCGGAGCTGTGCCAGAAACAAAAGCCCCCTAACAGTTGCAGTTCCAGTGAGTGAGAATGAAAAGACACTGCTATGGTGGTAGTCTTTGAGCTGGCTCCCTAGCAGATGCAAGTGGCCTTGTTTGTGTTGCTGTTGTGGTCATCATTGAGCTGCTGGGCCGCTGTGTCTCATGACAGGATCTTCCCAAATGGTCCTGGCTTAGAGGTTCTGTTCTACTTGGTGACAAAGGTCAGAACTCAGGAGCCATTTCTATGTTTTTCTTCCAGGTCATCAATGTGGAGAAAAGCTCTGTGACCATGGTGCCCTCCAAGGTGGAAATTACCTTGCAGAAGGACAGCCCGGTCACCTGGGCCAGACTGGAGCACCCGCAGAGCAGATTTCAAGCCAAGCAGCAGCTGGAGGCAGATACCTTGGAATGCCAGGAAGCCAGAGGAGCTCCTGAGGAGGAGGAGGAGTCAGACGACAGCTTGAGCTGGTCAGATGAAGATGAGGAGCAATGGCAGGAAGGCCAGGGCATGACCCCTTCCAGCCTGGTTTCTAATGGCAATTGAGTGCATGTGGCCACTGGATTCTGAGGCTGGGGGCAGGCGATAACGGCCTGTTTCCCCTTTAAGGCACTACTCTGCAACAAAACAGAAGGGCCGTGGCTCTGTGGTACAGCAGGAGTGGTTGCTGTTTGGCAGAAGTACCCACTGTTCCTCTGCTCACCAGATCTTCAGGGCTGCCTGGCCTGTTGGAAAAGGGGGTGGGTGGGGAGAGCCAGGGATGGTGGGAACTGGCACCTAAAATTTCTCAGCCTTTTGCCTCTTTAGTGTGCAGCTGTTTCTTACCCCTGAAATAAAAGATACCTTGTTGAGTATGGGACAACACAGAAGATCTCCTGCAACTGTTATCCTTGCCACTCAGTTTACTCATGCCTGACTATATGGGAGTGAAACTGGCCAGCTGGGCAGTGTGTGTGGATGCCAGTTCCTCCATGGCTCTTCTTCTGAGCAGGGTTGATTTC